ATTATGGGGTTGTTATTCTTAAAAATAAAAAAAAAAGGTGTAAAGGAAAAGGAAAAGCAAAACTTAAAAATTGGCAAAGCCAAAAGGATACATGCAAAAATATGAGAAAAGCAAATGCATGTTGATGATATTATCCTGGTGGTTTCCTTTGGTTCTCTTAGAAAGTTCATTATGTCATTTTTTAGTGCAGAGTTTGTTATGAAGAATCTTGGTCCACTTAGTTATTTTTTGGGAATTGCAATTACTCGTCATGCAACTAATATGTTTCTCTCACAGAAAAAGTATACAGAATAAATTCTTGAAAGAGAAAAGATGACTAATTGCAACTTGTCCCACACAAGTTGACACAAAGCCTAAACTTGGTGCTTGTAATGACATTTTCTATGAGGATCCTACTAAATATAGACATCTTACTAGAACATTGCAATATATCACTTTTACAAGGTCTGCCCTTTCTTATGATACAATAAGTATGTCTTTATATGCATGATCTCAAGGAAGAAGAACACATGTATGCTCTCAAGCGTATTTTACGTTACATTTAGGGTACTATTGATTTTAACTTGCATTTGTACAAATCCAATATTGGAAACTTTATCTCTTACACATATGCAGATTCAGGTGGATGTACAGATACTAGACAATTTACATCTGGGTATTATGTTTTCCTTGGTGATAACTTGATTTCTTGGTTGTCCAAACGAAGTATGTGTCCTTCATGTTCCGTCCCGCTATCAAATTGTTGATATTTTCACCAAAAGCATTTTTACGCGTACTCTTTGATTATTTTTGGAACAATTTAAGCATTTGTCAACCTTCTGCTTCAACTAAGGAGATGTGATATGTATTATTATGTAAAATAAGTTATTATTATTTTGAGAATATTTTGTAATATTAATTATCTAAAAATTAGCCTAAAATTTATTTTGTCAAATTATAATGACAACCTAAATTATAACTTATATTTTGTATATATTTATAATCAATAAAAAGACAAATAACAGAAGATTTCTATACAAACAACTTTTTTCACAACCCTACTCAAGAACAAACTTAAATAAAGAAAAAACTTGAAACAATATCACCTGTGATAAAAGAATAAAATCATTGTCTAAATCTCAATCATTAATGTTGATGCCTGATTTAGAAGAACAATGGTTAGAGAGTTTTTTTTTAATTTATTTAAATATTTTCATCTTGAATCCGACCAGATAGTATGTTCTGCCCTCTAATGTTAGAATTCAAATAAATAAAATAAAATAAAATACTTTAAATTTAAATATTGACCCGACAAATTGATGAACTAGACGTAACAAACTAAAATCACATTTTTATTATTAAGCATAATCCTACTTTTATTATTAATGTGTTTGATCTCATACTTAACTGATATTTCAAGCAAAATAACACTATATTGAATTCAATCTCTAACATTATAATCATTTAAAGCAAAACTACTTTTATTTAAGCGAACATGGACAACAATTTATAAGAAGTCGTGACCTATTACAAAAGTTGTCACTAATAATTAAAATTTAAATTTGTGATGGTATTTATAATAAAATATGAAATAACAATTTTTTTTCTCACAAAATTTCTTTACTAAATCAATTTTAAGATGAGTATTGTGACCATCTGTCCATAGATACAAAATGATTATAAAAGAAATCTTATTTTAAATTCATCACAAATTTCATATAAATGTACATAAATTTGTCATTGTGATGAATTTTTATCTATCATAAATTAATGTAAAAAAAGAAAAAGAAAAATCCTTTCTCTGGTGGTAAGAAAAAAGGCATGACATTATTATTAATTTTACTTTCTCTTGTATCTTTTTCTCTTCAAATATTTAAAAAATTAAAATACTAACAATAAATTTCCTAATATACTCTATGTTGTAGAGCATTGTTTGAAAATTATAGAATAAATGTGAGATTCACAAAATTTTATAGTTTTTAATAAATTTGACTAATAATAATATATATATATATATATATATATATATATATATATATATATATATATATATATATATTGAAGAGTATATTATTATATTAAAAAAACCCAAAAGAATGAAATTTATGACTGTTGTATCAGATATATTTATGTTTCGTCTAAATTTTTCTATAAATTTTGTATATAAATTTAAAAAAATCGCATGTAATAAGTTTCTTGTGAATTTTTCTATATATTATAATATAAGACAAAAAATATAAAAATTCTAACATATACAAATTAAGTTGTTACTATTAGTAATTTTCCTCTCATCTATTTTTCTAACTATTCATATATTAAATTGTATACATTTTCTCAAACTTGTGTAAAGTAAAAATAGATGGTTGGATTTAACTTGCCATATAGATTAAGAAAAAAAAATTGACGGTCAGTTTCATTATATTTTAAAATAAACTATAATATTTTGTTTAGTCTAATCTTAAATTAGACTAAACAGTCATTAAATTATTTTTATCTAATTAAAAATTAAAAAATATATATAACATATTTATATAAAATAATCTATCAAAAAAATAATCCAATAAAATAAATAAATGATTTAAAATATAAATAAAAAATAAATTTACATTTTCCAATTTCAAGTTATATTAAAATTTTAATTTTCATTTTAAATATAATAATTTAATATATAAGTTATAGCAAAAAAATTAATTCACTTTAAGGAAAAAAATAGAGACTTATTTTTGATTCTCATCATTCTAATTAAATTATCAAAAATAATAAATTATCTTAATTATTATTATTATTATTAATTTATATTTTAAAAATAATTAGATTCATTATAAATAATATTATTTTTATTTTTATTTTAAAAATAATTATTGTTTTATAAAAAAATTAATTTATAAATTTATGAACTAATTTAATTTAAATAAACTTATGAACTAATGTAAATTCATTTAGACCAAGCATAAAATTAACCAATTTAATTTAATTCATAATTTTATTAGTCTTATTTAACTTGAGCAGGTCATCAAACTAGCTCTGTTGGCACCCATACACTTGTGAAACCAGATAAGGCAATCATTTCCTCCTCCTCCTCCTCTTCTTCTTCTTCTTTTTCATTTTCTTAAAACCAAACTAAAGAAAAAGAGTTCTCCTTTCATTCTCCTTTTCCTTCCTTCTCCTGTAGTAATATATAATAGAAATGAAAAATAGAGTTATTATTATTATTATTATTATTATTATTATTATTATTATTATTATTATTATTATTATATGTGTGGGGTACAGTTTGTGGCCACCAGTTAGGCTACTGCCTCGGTTCTCACGGCACTCTTATTATCTTGTTAGTCATTTGTTCACCAACCAAAAAATGGTAGAAAAAAAATCCTCACAAGTTTTCCTCATAAATTCAATGCACGGTTTTTTCCTTTCTTTTGCTTCTAGAATCTTTGTAAACCTTTCAATTTTAGACTAAAATCATGAGATTGATTAGACCTTATACATATCAACATCATTCAATTTTTAATTTCCTTTCTTGGATGAAGTTTGGTTGGTGAGTTACTGACCCCATAAAATCAAATTATCTTTATCTCTCACATTCAAATCCTCATGAAATGTGTTTCTGAATGTGATATTCCACTCAAGATACACAAATTTATTTTTTCAATAAATGCCATTTCAAACTCATGAATTAATATAAGAACCAAACCTTTGACCACATCATCATCATCATCATTATTTAATAATACACATTACAGACACACACATATTATATACATGAAAATATCAGAATAAATTTCATAAAAGGTTGTCAAAAGTTGTTTTTTTAAATCATGTGTCGTGCTTCTCAGTGTAATTATGAGAGTTTTGTTAAATTCTTCTATTTTTACACACCATCTCACTTTTCTGATTCATCTGCATTAAAACCTATTGAAAGATTATCCTTTAGAAGCTCTTTTTCTTTTTTCTTTTTTTTAATCTGGTTTGAAAAGAAGTCTCAACATAGATTTTTGAACGGTCTTTCAGTTGAGGAAGCGATGCCTACACTGTGTCCTTCGCGTGTATTTCAGACTATCTTTGCCCTAAAGTGATAATAAAACCAGTCAACTTAGAAGGTGGAAACATATTAACATTTCACAGCCAAATTTCAAAGCATTGACAAAAGCTACATCACAGTTAAATAATGTCCAACATTGATAACTCCTAATCCATTACTACATTTCTCATAGCTTTTTTCAGTATAAATTATCATATTTTTTTAAAATTTTATCACACAAATTGTTTTCTCATTTACAATTAAAAATTTTCAATTTTATTTTGCATACTTTACCATCATGTTTATACATTTTATTATTATACTGATAATAAAAACAAGTCAGTTTGCGAAAAAATATGATAAAGAGCACATTTAATAAAATATGTCAAAACTTAAAAAATATGATAATAAAATGTGAAAAATTGGTAGACATGTGTTATTAAAACTATATATAAAAACTAAAGAGGTATATGCAAATAATTGCATTTATAATTTTGTAAAGAAAAAATTGAAATTTGAAGAAAGAGTGTAACAAAGAAGACTGCACCCATATGTCAGATGCATGCATATGTGGCTGGACAGTGAGGCAAGAAAGGTCACAAGGGAGTGGACTCCAAAAAGTAGCAAGGAAAATTAAAAATGCTAGAGACATGGTATATACACTTAAAATTGATTCCAGTCTAAGAAAGACAAGAAGAACAAACCTTATTCTCCTATTCTGGCAATACTAAATTTCAGGAATTTTCTATACAAATAAATATATACCTTACTTTTCTGCCACACACACTATATAAAAATAGTGCAATGGATTGTCATGGAATCATGTTTATCCCCTCCAAGTTTTTATATTAATAATTCTCATTCCCTCTCACACTCTCTCTCTCTCTCTCTCTCTCTCTCTCTCTCCTATAATTCTGACTTGGGGTTGTAATTAAAGAGTGGAAGTTGCCCCAATCAATCAAAAAGCACAAAGCAGCAATACCAAAACCAAAAAGGCAACATGGGCAGGGCTCCTTGCTGCGACAAAGCAAACGTGAAGAAAGGTCCATGGTCACCAGAAGAAGATGCTAAGCTCAAATCCTACATAGAAAAACATGGCACTGGTGGTAACTGGATCGCTTTGCCTCAAAAAATAGGTATACATACACACATATTATATCACTTTCTTTGTAACCCTATTTCTAAATCCTGGTTTCCTTCATTCTTTCACACATATATCATCATTTCCTTGACTATCTATGTGTAATTAGAAGCCAAGGACTCATTCAATCAACAAAGACTCAAATTTCTTTTGGTTAGACTTAATATACAGTGTCAAAGTTATTCTTGTTATTGTAAGATTGTATTTCAATCAAACTTTTCATTTGGTTTCGGTAATTCTCATTAATTTAACGACCATCACGATCAATATGAAAGATTATGTTTGGTCTTTTTTTTGTGTCTTACAGTTATGTTAATTTTGTGAATTAGGTCTTAAGCGATGTGGCAAGAGTTGTCGCCTTAGGTGGCTAAACTATCTTCGCCCTAATCTCAGGCACGGTGGCTTCTCCGAAGAAGAAGACAACATTATTTGCAACCTTTACATCAGTATAGGAAGCAGGTTTATACATTCATTTTCATTCATGTATATGTGTTCATTTCACTCCTAGCTAAATTTTCTAATTAAATAAGACTGTGTTGCTACAATATATACATATTACTAGTTACAGTGCGAGTTTGATTTCACGTTTGAGATGTGATTTTACTAAGAAGTAGCTTTCGCATCTCAAACGTGTTTCGAACCATGTTATAATACAACATGTTGTGAAACCCTTTGGTTTGTGTGGTCGAAGGTGGTCGGTGATTGCAGCACAATTGCCAGGAAGAACTGATAATGACATAAAGAACTACTGGAACACGAGGCTGAAAAAGAAGCTTTTGGGGAAGCATCGAAGAGAGCCACGTAATAGAGGAAATTACAACAGTGTTAAGCAAGGAATTAGTGATGCTAATAGAAGGAGTAGTAATGGTGATTCTTCTTCCTTATCCTTGGTTCAGGAAAATAGTAGCAACAGCCAACAACAACAACCATCACCATGTTGGCCGCAGAACATTAACATGCCTGTGCTGCCACTACCAATAGTACCCTTGCCATACACAAACCAAGGTCCATGTTTCAACGACCAAGATTCTATCAAGAAACTCCTCATCAAACTTGGAGGAAGATTTTCAGGTGATTATTACCAGCCTACGCTTGATGGGTTGAATCTTCAATTCTCATCAGAAGGGCAACAAGTTTACCAAGAACAAGTCCATGTTGGTTCTTCCTCTTCTTCGGCCTGCATTGCCAACAACGAAGTACAATTTTCACAAACTTGTCAATACTCTGGAGTCGATGACTTGGTGCAAGGACAAGGTGGTAATTTCACCCCATTATTTGAGGAAATGGTGTCTTCTTCTAATTATTCAGATGGGTTGGAGTTCTTGTACAATGATGGCATGATCGACCATAAGATAATAGACTCTACTATTACTACTACTTGTGCCCAAAGCACTGCTACTATTACCACAAACTGGAGTGAAACTACCACTTCCATTTACAACCATCATTCACTTGCTTCCAATTTTCAAGGTCAAGGTCTGACACAAGAATGTGCTTTGCAAGAGTTTAGCTACCCCAGGACACAATAACATGTTCTTTTTGTACATTATTTTATTATCATTACTGTTATTAACCACTGCTACTAGCCATTTGTGACAGGGGGAGGGGGGTAATTGATTATCATAGAAAATAAAACAAGTTATATATATGTAGACAATGTATAACTAGCTATGTAGAGCTGTATTAATTTCTGTTTGATTAGTGTTTGCCATAACAGCTAGTGTTGAAGGTTGATCTCATCTGCTAGCCAGTAGCAGTGTAGTTTCTCTGACTATTGTTTTGTGTATTAATTTGGCTTTCATTTAAAATCTTTCGTGTTCTAACTGATATGTGCTATGATTTATGATTTGTCATGTGCCTAGAAGACCAGTCAAAATCTATGCAATAGCAGGAAAAGGCACTGAGAACGGTGTCATTTAGTCTGCGGTCAGCAGCACTGAATATTGTTGGTGTTACGTGTACATTTCTCTTTTATGAAAAAGATGGAAGAGATAAAGAACTTCTCTGTGTGAAAACATATTTAAGAAAAAAAAAATTGTCCACAAGTTAATTATTTTGGTATAAATTAAAAATATTTTTAATTTTAAAAAACTTTTCTAAAAAACTGTTTATGAGTATTCATCTCACTTTACATTTATATTTTTCTCTTTTTATTTCTTATACTATTTGTAAAAGAATATTGTGTGAAAAAAATTCTTAGATCAGCATTATTCATGGTGAGAGAGTCATGGAGATGGAACTGAACATTAATAGCATAAAATGACATGTTTCAATAGGGTGCATTTTGTTTACTCCTGTATAAGAAACCTACTCTAGCTAGGACCTCTTATATAGTTCCTTAATTAATTATATATAAAAAAATTAATTTTATAATGGTTATGAAATAAATTATTATTTAAGTAAAAACAGTGAAAAACTTATAAAAAATAAGCTAAACAATGTCACCACCATTATTAAGTAATATTTGACATATTGCTTATATTAAGCTTAAATCACACCTCTTATTCCCGTTTCTACTGTTTTCCTTCATATTGTATATATATTGTCCAATTGAACTATAATATAATTAATTATAAAAAAAACAATGAATTAGATCTAATTATCACTGAAGAAAATTAATTAGCTAGATACAAAAAATTTCAAATTGGACAAGTTTCTTTATTTATTTGTATTTAGACAAGTTTCTTTATAAATATTAATTAAAAAAATTTAAAACTAGTTTATACTCTTATCTCATATAATTTTATAAATTTCTATTTTTTAATGTATGAGCTAATTTTAATTTATAAAAAAATAATTATTTTTTTCTTTTTTATTCTATTTTTTAATAAAAATGTTTAGAAAGAAATGTTTCCACGTCGTATCCTTCAAATTGACACGTGTAAATAGAAAGGTCCATATATATTCAAATAAATATATAGTGTTGTAAAACAAATAGTTCAGTATATGTTGCTGACCAAATGATTCCCTTCCATTTTAGACAACACTTGAATAAACATGAGTTTTTGTTGCCTTCAGATGAAAAAAAATAAAAATATTATTTACATAATCTATATTATATAAAAAAGATATATAATCAATTTTTATGTCATGATAAAAACAAATATTATCAATAGAGAGAAAAATTATAAAATTATAAAATTTACTTTAGCGACTGTATTTTTATTCATATAATATAATAAATTAAAACTTTAAGATTTCCTTTGTTTTACTTCATGTGCTACTTTTTTTTTTTGCCCTTTCACTCTAAGTAGGTGGGAATAAGGGCCATAGGTCCTATATATTAATTAGTTGAAACCTTTAGAAATGGGTTTTGTCAAAGCAACGAAAAGTCATATGGTCCATGCTACTTATTCTAAGAAACCATTGAATAATGTCTTCCTGTATAAAATGATCATTGGAAGTATTAGGTTCAGTTTTTTTTTATTAAATAATTATGTTAACAAAATATAAAAGTTAAATATAATTCAAATAATTTAATATAATTTTTGAATTATATTAAATCAATATTTTAAAATTTAGTTTGATTTAATTTTTGTGATTTTTATTATTGTTAAATTAATAAATATTTTTTAATTATTAAAACATTTTCTTTAGAAAATTATTAACGTTTTATGATGAAATTTGTTAAATAAAAAATAAGATATTAATTTTCTTTAATTTGTTATGTTTATAATTTTAATTTTTATTATACTTATAAATAAATTACATAATTGTATATTTAAAAAAATATAATATAAATATATTATAAATAAAAATACAGTCAAACTATAAAATATTATTTAAAAGACCTACTATAATATATGTTTTGTTAATTGATTATTACCTTAATATATATATATATATATATATATATATATATATAATATTATATTTAGTTTGATTTGGTTTGTAATTTTTCCATTAAATTAAGAAAAAGGTAGATTTCAAATAAAAATTCATTTTGATCTTTTTTTTTTTTTTTTACTTTTTAGATAGTTTTTATGAGTTTCTTTTTATTGCTTCGATTTTAAGCATCTCTATTATTCACTTTCTCTACTATCTTGCTTTTATTATTATTATTATTATTATTATTATTATTATTATTATTATTATTATTATTATTATTATTATTATATCTTTACTTTTTTTCCTGTATTTTTTTTATCGCTTCTATTAGTGTTTTTTTTTATCGTACCTTCCAATACCTTTTAAATCTTAACTTTAATTACATACCTCTATTTTTAAAACTTATATATCTTCTTACATTTTTAATTTTGAAGAAGAGGAAAACAAAATTAGTTTAAAATTTTAAAAATTAAATAAGAATATGTGTAAAAACTTAAATGCAAAAGTATCAGAATCTTTATATGTACGTGTAACGATCCTAGAAATCGCTACTATAATGATGTCTTCGCAAAGTAGTAAATAAGTAAATAACAACATCTATTTTACATTATATTATTGTAATTGTAACATATATTGAAATTCCAGTTCACTAACGTAACTTCAAAATATAGTAAGCTGTAATATCTCAAAAAAAAAAATATATATATATATATATATATAATAATAATAATAAATTGAAAGATAAGATTAACTTATCTTAATGGGTAAGTTTTATCCGTCATTAATGATTTCATAAAAAAAAATAATAAATAAATAAAAATTTTGGTTATAAAAAGGGGCAGGGGAAGGATGCGGAGGGAGAAAGAGAGAAGGGAAGAGAGAGAAAGAAGGAGAGAGAGAGAAAGAGGGAAAGAGAGAAAGGAAAAGAGAGAAAGGAAGAGAGAGAAAGAAGGAGAGAGAGGAAGAGAGAGAAAGGAGGAGAGAGAAAGGAGGAGAGAGAAAGAGAAAGAGAAAGAAGAAGAGAAAGAACCAAAAATTTTGGTACCTCATCCGCAATTCTTAAGGTAGGGGAGAAGAATATTATCATTAAATCTATTTTATTTTGCTTATAGTTGTGGAGTGAGGTGTCCCTAACCTCATTCTATTTATTTAGTTATTTGTTTATTTATTTCTAACTACGTATGATCCTACCTTATGCTTGTTTATTTTATCTCCAGTTATGTACTAGTCCTGTTTGTTTATTTTATCTCCAGTCTTGCACTTGGTCCTATTTTACTTTATCTCCAGTTATGTACTCGGTCCTTTTTGTTTATTTTACTTTATCTCCAGTTATGTACTGGTCCTATTTTATTTTATCTCCAGCTATGCACCTGGTCCTATTTTAATTATCTCCGAGTTATGCACTCGGTCCTATTTTAATTATCTCCAGCTACGTACTCGGTCTTGTTTGTTTACTTTATTTTATCTCTAGTAATGCAATGATCCTATTTATTAGTCTATAGTTATATTAATCAATTACAATGATATCTATTTGTGAAGATTTGATGATATTGTAGATGGAGGTTGGACCTTGGGGATTTAAATGAGTAAATATCACTCGTGAGCATGATTAAAATTGAGCTCATTTATCCCGACTAGTCACTACAATTTAAATCTTCATAAAATAGAATGTGTTGAGAAAGTTGAAACATATATATCTATATATTATAAGATTGTATTATTGTAATTGATAAATGTTCTCACTCCCTATTGTGATCTTTTATGCATGTTTTATTTAAACACCAACTTAAGTAGATGGAGGCGCCAAATATTCCAAATCCCTTTTCTGCAAGCATCACCGCCTTCTTTCCAGGAACTACTTGGAACACGAATGTTATAGACAACTCTGCTACTTTTAGAGGGATAGGATTTTCAATAATAACATTTGTATCTGATATGGGAAATCCCATTATGTTAGATGGGCCAATAGTAGTTACTTTTTTTATGCCTCCTACTTTTTTTCAAAACCCCTTAATCAGCTTGTTTCCACCGCCAATGTAGATACTTGTAAAATTGTAGAAAAAGAAAATAGAAGGAATCAAAGATAAAATTCCTTCTTCTTTTGTATATCTTATATAGTGATGTAAATTACTTTTACATATATGTAATATTTTTGACCTCCTACTCTTATACAAATAATAATAATAATGATTAATAAAGAAAAAAAAACGTCACATTAAATGGTATCGAGAGCAACGTTTCATGTGTGACCTCGTAAAATGAGTCTATCATGATATCTTATGAATCCTAACTTATATAATTCCGGATGGCAAATAATAGAAGGAACAACGAGTTGACGAAGCGGTACAAGCTATCCGAGACATGGCCGTTGCATTATTAAGGAACCAAAGACCTGAAGGAACCAATGGATCACAAGGTTTAGTTGAATTTAGGAGAAACAAGCCTCCACAATTTTCTCGGAGGATATAACCCGTAAAAGGCCGAATTATGGATTAAAGAATTGGAAAAAATATTTCAAGTTATGAATTGTCCCGATGACCAAAAGGTGAATTATGCTCGTATTTATGTTGATAGGAGAGGCCGAATATTGGTGGGATAGTACCAGGAGATTACTAGAAGGAGGAAGAATAATCATTACTTGGGAAGTGTTTAGAACAAAATTTTTAGAAAAATATTTTCCCAATGATGTGAGAAGAACGAA